AAGCCTTCTCTCCTAAAGGAGTGCTATTCCTAAAACTTGGCATAAGGTACTATAGTCAATGACTGAGTCAGTCTTAAGTACTTTGCGTGTGCAGTATCGTTTTACTTCTTCCACTCTTAGTATATCAGATAGGCGTAGGTTGGAAAATAAAAACGAGCAGTATTCAACGATAGGTCTTACACAAACTTTATAAAGAAAGATTTTAGTTTCATTTTGATAGAAATTGCGAAGAATGAAGCCAAGCAATTTCCGCATTTTAGATGCTTTGGCTGAGATGTGTTCAGAGAAATTGAGACTGTGAGTAACGTACCCCTAGGCCAGTTACTGATGCCAGTCTGGGCAGTGTGTGATTGCTAAGTGTTAGTTTTATTTTAAGAGACGTGTTTCCTATACATAACCAGCCGCATTTCTCTGTGTTGAGCTCTAGCCTCCAGCGTTTGCACCAGTCGTCTATCATGTTGGATTTTTTGCATAGTACTACTTAAATCGCAAATGTCAGTTTTATAGATGACTTTTAAGTCATCGGTATAGAGGTAGGTCTTATCTGTGCTGAAGCACTTGCATATATTGTTGATGTAGATCATAAAGAGCAATGGACCCAAGACACTACTTTGCACAACACCACTGGTTATTGGTCGAGGTGTAGATGTTTTAGAGTTAATCTTCGTTATTTGGTAGCTGTTCGTAAGAAAAGACTTGATCCATTGCGAAATTGGATTTACAATTCCAACTGACTTGAGTCTGTTGATTAGAAGATTATGAGGTACTTTATCAAATGCTTTCTTAATATCGAAGTATAGTATAATAACTTGTTTCTTCTGGTCACGTATACGAGTAACCTCGCTAAAGAAGTCTACCAAACATGTACTGCACGACCTTGTTCTAATTAAGCCGTGTTGTGACGGGTCTATTAGATCTTACTTAAGTAGGTGATCAGATAGTTGATTTTGTATCAATTTTTGCATTATGCGTGATATGACTGGAGTGATATTTATGGGTCTGTGGTTCTCGACCAGGTTTCTCGGTCTGGATTTGTGTTTGGGAAGAACATACGTTACCTTCCAGGTTTCCGGATATGAACCTGTCTCTAAAGATAGTGTGTATATTTTGAGTAGTAGCGTCTGTATGTCAGGTCCTGACATTTTATAAAGAATCGAAGGGATGTCATCGGCATCAGAACTAGCATTTGGCTTAAGGGTTTTAATGGCGGTATGTATACTCCTATGTGCCTTCAATAAACTGTGGAAGATCTAGAAACGACGACGGAAAAGGCTGCAAGAGAAGGGATCATGAGACAACTGTATGACATAACAAAGAAACTCTCTGGAAATCGCCGCAAACAAGAACGACCAGTGAAAAGCAAGGAAGGCGAGGTAATCACCAACATTGAAGAGCAACGAAACAGATGGTTAGAACACTTCAAAGGACTCTTGAATCGACCAGCCCCACTGAACCCACCCAACATCGAAGCAGCACCCACGGATCTCCCAATCAATGTTGGCCGACCAACAATTGAAGAGATAAGCATGGCCATCAGGCAAATCAAGAGTGGCAAAGCAGTAGGACCAGACAACATTCCAGCAGAGGCACTAAAAGCAGAAGTAGCGGCAACTGCAAGGATACTCCACATTCTCTTCAATAAGATTTGAGATGAGGAACAAGTACCAACAGACTGGAATGAAGGACTTCTGATCAAAATACCGAAGAAAGGCGATCTCAGCAACTGTGATAACTACAGGGGCATCACTCTTCTCTCAATACCATGAAAAGTCTTCAACAGAGTATTGTTAAACAGGATGAAGCACTGCGTAGACGCCCAACTTCGTGACCAACAGGCAGGATTCCGTAAAGATAGATTGTGTACAGACCAAATCACAACTCTACGGATCATTGTGGAACAATCAATTGGATGGAATTCATCACTCTACATCAACTTCATTAACTACGAAAAAGCGTTTGACAGCGTGGACAGGACAACACTATGCAAGCTTCTTCAACATTACGGCGTGCCTCAAAAGATAGTCAATATCATCCAGAATTCATATGATGGATTACACTGCAAAATCGTGCATGGAGGACAGTTGACAAAGTCGTTCGAAATAATGATCGATGTCAGACAAGGTTGCTTACTCTCACCCTTTCTCTTTTTTCTGGTGATCGACTGGATCATGAAGACGTCAACATCTGAAGGGAAGCACGGGATACAATAGACATCTAGGATGCAGTTGGACGATCTGGACTTCGCAGATGATCTGGCCCTTCTATCCCAAACGCAACAGCAAATGCATAAGAAGACGTCCAGAGTAGCAGCGGTCTCAGCAGCAGTAGGTTTCAATATACACAAAGGGAAAAGCAGGATTCTCCGATGCAACACAGCATGCACCAATCCAATCACAATTGACAGAGAGGCTTAGGAAGTTGTAAAAACCTTTACATATCTGTACAGCATCATTGATGATCACGGTGGATCTGATGCAGATGTGAAGGCGCGGATCGGCAAAGCAAGAGCAGCATATTTACAAGTGAAGAACATCTGGAACTCAAAACAACTGTCAACCAACACCAAGGCCAGGATTTTCAATACAAATATGAAGACAGTTCTACTGTATGGGGGCAGAAACCTGGAGAACTACGAAAGCCATCATCCAGAAGATGCAGGTGTATATTAACAGTTGTCTACGCAAAATACTTCAGATCCGTTGGACGGACACTATTAGCAACAACGTACTGTGGGAGAGAACAAACCAGATCCCAGCGGAGGAAAAAATCAGGATGAAGGGCTGGAAGTGGATAGGACACACATTGAGGAAAGCACCTAACTGCGTCACAAGACAAGCCCTCACATGGAATCCTGAAGGCCAAAGGAGGGGAGGAAGACCAAAACACACATTACGCCAGGAAATGGAAATAGACATGAGAAAAATGAACAAGAATTGGATGGAACTAGAAAAGAAGGCCCAGGACCGAGTGGGTTGGAGAATGCTGGTCAGCGGCCTATGCTCCATTGAGAGTAACAGGCGTATGTAAGTAATTAATGTATACTCCTAATGTCCAAGTTCATGGTAATAAGACAGTTTTTGCTGATGCACTTTATGTTGATATCTGGAGCATGAGATGTATTCCTATTGTGGGAATACTACTTAGGTAACTTCCCTACATAGACCTCCTAAGTCGATAAATATCTAAGCGTGTTTGTACCAAGCATTGATGAAGTCAGAATGCTATTTCGTCAAGTTCGTCGGTAGAACATCCCATCTAATGCTTAACAGCTTTATTCTGTCTCATTTAGAGTACAGAAACACAGAGTTTTCTCCCTCACCCCAAAGAATAAGATTACACTGGAACAAATCTAACGGCAAGGCAAAAAATCAGTTTGCAGACCCGAATTCAAGCAGCATAAAGGGCACCTCAAACCCCTGAATCATTGCTATCAGATTATAGGCATCTAAGAGGCGATCTTCTGATGCATTTCACAACTTTCGTCACTCAATGTGGAATATCAGGTAATATAATGCTCAGACAATGAAAGCAAGTAAATAAGTAATTTAAACACAATACTTTATTATTAATAGGATGTCTATGGCTGAGTTTAAACTCCGCGATATGAAATCTTGGATCTTTAACCTCCACTCAGGTAATCCTGTTCAACTCGAATGCATATGTAATGAAACGGTACTCAACCAAACCATTGTGTTTCGAATTGACCTGTGAGAATGGACAAATGTGGATTATTTTGATGGTCGCTATACTGAATTCAAACACAATCCGTTGAGAGTTATTAGTATTTTTTCTAGTTATAGAAGATCTGTTGTTTCTTATAGCTTAAGTCTGTTAATCAAGCACTAAATTACGTGAAACCAGCGAAAACTGGGCGTCGATATTTTGAATTCAGCAAGTTTTAAGTGGATACGCTTATGAAATTGTAAATACATGCACGAAATAATCAGTTCCGCAAGTAAAAGTTCACCATTTGTAGTTTGAATGTTATGAACTCACAAAATAGAGGTTGTATCAGTGTAAATTTGAAAGCCATCAGTGTTTTAAAACGTGCCCAACAAACAAAGGAAATAAGTGTCTAGGGTGAAAGCAGAGCTAAAAAGACTTTACTCATGTTAATAGTAACGTTCGTTCGGCGCAGACCATCTGACCTTTCGAATCTACATGTCACGAATTGTATTTCCAGTATCTCCACAACCTTCATGCTTGAAAATTTAGTATTATAATTTTTTCGCGTTGTATATACAGTTTCCTTGATACAGTATGGTGTATGCTACGTTTAATATTAATATTTTCCCGTTTAAACGACAAAATACATAGTTCGTCGCTTGGTTTTAAACTAGGTTTTTAAAGATTACTTTGCTTCTCACTGCAATGAATGTATCTTTAAAGTTATTCCATTTAATGTTGTGCAAAGGCAGAAGAAAATCGTCTTGTTCATTTTTGTTGGCTTGGTCAATTTGGAGCGTATCCAACGGCGAGCCACGAAATCAGTTCGAGGACTCAAATCTATGCCTTACGAAGAACGCCTCCATTCACTAGACTTTTACCCATTAGAGTATAGGCGTCTTAGAGGTGATTTATTAATGGCTTATAGTATTCTTAACATTTTTGGACATCCTCTTAAACACCTACTTAAGCTTAGTTCGAATAATAACCTAAGGGGGAACACCCAGAAACTGGAAACTCAACATAGCAAGAGGGAATGTAGACACAACTTCTACTCCTTAAGAGTTATCAAATTCTGGAATTCGCTGCCAGCCGAGCTAGTCCAAGCGACTTCTCAAGAGTCCTTCAAGAGGCAACTTGGCCTATTCTTAAGGACCAAGGACAGTATCACACTATAATTTACCAATTTCTTTTCCTCTTTTATTGTTAACATACCTAGGTTCTTGCCTGGAGGATTTGGTGATCTCATGCTACTAGACACGGAAGCCTGTTAAGCGAAAGCTTCTTCTATTTTGTCCATAACCTTTTGAACCATTTTAATTTGTTTGTATACATTACCTCATTGGTACAACTTTACGAGTTTTGACGTTACTTGATAGAGTGGGTTTCCGGTACTACTTTGGTTAGTTTGAAATCGTCCAGGCTGGTTTGTCATGAACTTACTGGCTATATGTTTAATCATAGTCAACAGTAATCTATCGTCATTCTTTAATTCGAAATATTAGGGGCCTGTACATAGTGGTTCAAGTTGTTCGGTAGATTATCCCAAGTTCACAATTTTGCGGAAAATTTGGCACATTTTCGGAAATCTCAGGGAAGCTGCTATATAAAATTTTGGGGAAATGTCACATAAACCCCGAAATTTCGAAAAGTTGAGAGCTTGGGACTTTTTACGAGTTTCACACAATTTAATAGTTAACTGTGGTTCTGCCTCAGCTTACTATTCGTTTTTTCCCCCAGTTTTTCACGTAAACGATAGTTCAGTTTCTGCCATACATTTTTATCGATTTCTTCGCTTTTAGTGTATTTTTTAACGGTTTTAACCTTCTGCTAGCAACTATAATATAGTTTGTCATTATAGTCATGAAAAACTTGTCCAAACGTCCTTGATGCCGTTCTGCAGCGAGATTCTAATTTATGGACAATCTTTGAACGAGTAAAATGGTTCAAATGGTTGTGGACGGAATAATAGCTTTCGCTTAAGAGGCTTCTGTGTCTAGTAGGGGATCACCAGAACTTCCGGGCAGGAACCTAGGTATATTAACTCTAATAGGTCAGAAAAAAAGAAATTGGTAAACCATAGCATGATACTATCCTTAGACCTTAAGAATAGATCAAGTTGTCTCTTAAAGGACTTCTGGGAAGTCGCTTGGACTAGCTCGGCCAGCAGCGAATTCCAGCCTTTGACAACTCTTAAAGGAGTAGAAGTTGTGTCTACAGTCCGTTCTGCTATGTTGTATCTCCAATTTCTGGGTGTTACCCCTTAGGTTAGTGTTGGGACTAAGCTTAAGTAGGTGTTTAAGAAGATGTTCAGAAGTTTTAAGGATACTGTAATCCATTAGGTCACCTCTAAGACGCCCATACTCTAATGGATAAAGGTTTAGTGATTGGAGGCGCTCTTCATAAGGTTTAAATCTGAGTCTTCGAACTGATTTCGTGGCCTGCCGTTGGATACGTAGAGCTGACACATTCAACCGTTCGAAATTCCAGCGCCTGTTGTTGATGGGATATCTTAGCTCAGTTTTGCTGATAAAACTGAAAGCTATAACGGCGTGATCGCTTGCCGCCAGGGGAACCAGGATTGGGAGGTTGTCAACTAAAAATCCTCCGTCTGTAAATACACAATCTAAGCGCGATGGTGTCTGACTTTCTCCAACGAGTTGCCGACTACACATTTCTGTATAATCCCAAATTCTCAATGAGGTTGAAGAACCGAGTTTCAGTTGAGTTTTCACCTCCAATATACGTATGTTCCGCGAACTGGACTCTAGGGAGATTGAAGTCCCCCAGGATCAGGATATGAGTGAAACCGAGACGCGTAGAGCGGGATAGTCCTTCCAGCATACGACTATCATACTCGATGTCAGCAGTGGGCTTCCTATATATGACTCCGACTAGGCACCTCGAAGTAGTAGACAATCTTACAGAGCACCATACAGATTCATCAAGATTGTTAAACTCATGGTTGTGAACTTGGTGTACCTCCAAGCAAGATCGTATGTATACGGCTACTTTACCCCCAATTCCTGCTTTTCTGTCGTTGCGTAACAAAGACATCCCATGTATTGCTAGCTCCTGGTCCGAGAACTGAGAAGATACCCAAGTTTCAGATATTCCTATCAGATGAACCTTATTAGCATTACTAAGTTCACGTAGCTCACCCATTTTATTTGGTAGACTCGCGGCGTTCATGTATAAGCAGTTTATGCTTTCAAGTTGAAACGTGTGAGCTTCTCCTTCCTGTTTGTTTGTATGAGCCTTACGTGAATGAACAGGTAGTCTACCTATATAAGGTTTGTCGAGTTGGTAGGCGCTGACCTTTACACGTTTTTTTTTATGAACAAGACGGTCCACAAGTGGAATGGTCAGCTCCAACTTGCCTTTGTGCTTGGTCCTGGCTTCGTATGGCCTGTCCGGGTGCATATGGATTCCAGTTGGCAACCGACGTCTGTTGGCACGAAACGCTTCCAGAGTTGCAACCGCCATGTGAGAGGATGGGAAAGCTATCCTCATTAGCTGGGGTCTAGAATCACTGTCCTTCTTGGCTAGTCTCGTCACATGTTGAGTCAGTATGTTTTTGAGGCTACTCCTGCGGGAGCAGATGGCGTATGAACCAATTGTTGTTCACCGGCTTCCATGGGACTGCATCTCCTTACGATGCTCCACTACCTTATGGATCAGACCCTCAGGTCGAAGGCTTGTTGTGTGGCCCCCTAAGAAATCCACCTGCTTCGGTTTGGGCACCCGGGCAGTATCACAACCCTCACAGATATCGAATGAGATTTGTGTGGCGCATGTGTATTTGGTGCCTCTTTGTACCGATATCTATGTGTTGAAATAAATAAAACTAGACACGGAAGCCTGTTTAGCGAAAGCTTCTATTCCGTCCACAACCATTTGAACTAATATACCCAATCTCCCGATTTCGGGAATCTGGAATAGAAAGTGTAGGGTAAATGTGACAACGCCCAAAAATGTCAGGTTCTAGGTAAATCTCCAAATTGTTTGGGGGAATTTCTGTTCTTTTTTCCAATATCTTTCCAAATATAGGGAAAAGTGCGGATTTTTTGTTACTTTAGAGAAAAATGCCGGAGTTTACGGAAAATCTGGAGATTAAGTGTACGAACTTACATATTTTATGGTGGTTTATGGACACTGGTTTCATTTCTGAAACTATTTTTGCAAAGCAGCCGAGCATTTTTCGTTACAAATGTTTTTTATGTCATGAGGGTTCTAAGTTGTCGATGTGACGTAGAATCCATATTCCTTTCTCCCCTGGAATTTATATATGCGTATGTATAACCTTTCACATACGTGTTTCTGTAGATTTCAAAAGCGTACTGGCTCAGCGTTATTTTTCTAGCTGGTCGACTATTAGTTGCTGAATTCATTTTTCCCCGAAAAACAAAGTGCTGAAATTATAGTGGATGATAGTTACCATTGCTTTCCTGTAAGACAATGTGGTATCACCTACGAAGCCCTTGTGCATAGTAGTGATGAGTCAGCAGTGCCTACAGTTCGCGACCTTGGCACATGCAAATAAACAGTCGAAGTAATGTAGTATGTATTTGTGAGGCATTATGTTAACTACTAGACAGATAATGAATTTCTTTCCTAAGGACTTCAGAAAATTTGCTTAGACTATGCAATTCAAGTGAACAATACTCAAGACGTTAATTGTATACTATTGATTTACCCTAATTGTAGTCAGGAGTAAATTAAAACATATGATCTGATGATTTGATGCATTTTTTCAACTATACTTTGATGTATGCTACTTATGCTGACGGGTAGAAGTAGTATGTATCAGCAATCGAAAGTGGAATGCCTGGTAGCAGATTGAAATAAAAAGAACGGGAAAAGAAACCAAGGAATTGTAATGACAACAATTGGTAGAATCGTGAAGGATAAATGATGGGAGATGTGCGAATAATGTACTTATTATATGGTTTCCATGTTTTATGAACGCATTCTGTAATTTTGCACTGAATAATAAATAGGTTTTCCCCACTTGAGTTGTCGTTTACCACGATACCATCCCTGTCTTATATGGAATAATAATTGTAGCTCACTTTCCCACATTTAGTGTTCGATATTCATACTTTTCCAAGTGTTTTGTTTTCTACAAAGAAGGGTAAGAAAACCCTTAAATCTCTGATTAGCCATTTGTTATTTTTTACTTTTAAGATATCTCAGCATAAGATTTAGGAACTGTTTATTCAGCCATATAGACTCTGTGTTATGAGATTTCTCCAAAAATAATACTTAAGAGGAATGTATAATCTTCCTATGAAAGACTGATTTATTTGAAATGAAAACTGAGTAAAATAGGTCATACAATTTACATGGCTAATCTTTTTACGCTCTTCATATATATTTATATGACGACGTACTCAAAATCATTAGGGTTACTCATCTGGAAATATTAGTACCGTTTCGGCAGCCATTAGCAACCATAATAGGGTATTGTACACTTTATTCCTATCTGTAACTTGTTTTTAGGATATGATTGGTTGTTTTGGATAATGTCTGATGTGTTCAGGGATGAATTCAACGCTGATACAAGTAATATCTATTTAAAAACCACTGCTCTCATTCAACACATATTATCTGCTACACATGAAGAAGAGCAAGAGTTAAAATTATCAGGTGATCGGGCAGCTCAACTGCGAGAAGTCAATAACAAGTTACGTGAGCGCGTTACGAACGATGAGAAGCAGGTGGATTGTATGATATCTAGATTACAGACCGTGAAGCGAACAATCGAAGAATTACGTGCTTCTATTGAGAAATCTAAATCAATTAAAGTGGGTTTAAATAGCTTGTAGGAATGATGCATTATAAATCGGCATTATTTTCTAGATGTGATTTTCATAAACATCCTGGTGTTTATAACTTTACAGTCCTAAGTAAAATCTGAACTAATAGTGCGTCTTCTCACTTCAGTTCGATAGATCAATAAAATAATATCTACTATCAGTTTTACTTAGTCACAGTCACAACGTAGAACCTGGTACGTACATACATTGGTTTAAGACGCGAAATCCAGGAGTAATAGATGTAGTAACAGTATCAATGGTAATAAGAAAGACTAGGCATCGCAGATACGATTCGAAAAGAAAATGTAAATTAGCGAAATAAAAAACAAAAATAAGTTGTGAAGAATTTATAATGTTAGGAATCGGGTAAGTCAAAGAATGAATGCACCTGTGTTGTTCCAAACGATTTTGAGCCATGCCATTCACAATCACAAAGACTCCAACCAGATAGTCTATAACCATTCAAAACGCCATGCCCGGTTAGCAGTGGAATAATGCCATGTCTTGGTTTGGCTACCCCTGGCTTTCTTCCAACCTGCTCCTGCACCAGAAAACCACCTGAGGTAGACAATGGTTAGGCATACGTAACACCTCATAACCACCTCAGTTGATGAAGACTTACTAGCTCATCGATCGATTTTCCGTCTTTATCTAGGACTCTATTCCTAAATCAGGCATTGCTTAATCCGTGGTTCCAAAATACACTAGCAGTCCTTCGTAGATACCTATAGTAGTCGTATACTAATAATCTACAAACATTCTCTATTCTTAATGACCATTTTTCACACTTATAAAGTAGGACGGAGCAAACTGTCAAGCAATAAACTCGTCCTTTGTTTGGAAGACGAATATCTCGCCTACACCACTATTTGAAGCAAGTTTTCAAAAACCAATCGAACCTTCAAAATTTGTGCCAACTTTTCGTCACACACCAGGCCATCAGCACTGATGGGAATCCCGGGATAAGTGGTGGTCGACACACTCGATTACTTCACTCTCTATCGCTAATTCAGACGCAGATACAAGCCAATCCTGAAGTAAAATTTTGCATTTGAAGGAAGAAAACCGCATCTCGAACGTGCTAGCATTTTTGCATAAGATGGACGGTCAAATGCTTTTTGTTAGCGTCTTCGCCATACAGAACTATATCGTCTTCGTACTAGATCAACTTTGGAAAGTCAGGATATGGATGTATTACCTCTAAAAGCATTCCTATGACAAAATTAAATGAAAATGGGGGAAACGGACAATCTTAACGAACACTACTTGAAGTGATCAACTTCCATAAAACTTCGCCATAAGCTCTGACTCGAGCATTAGTGTTCGGGTAGAGAGTCCGTACAGTGTTAACGTGCTTCCAGTTGATTAGTCACTGGCTAGTAACTAATTTTGTGTCAGGTCCTTAGTGCAGATCGATTTCCATCGATCAGGTTGCAATTTGAATACATCTCAGTCCTACAAGAGGTCAGTTGCAGCCCGGATAGCTCCGTGGTAACATCTGAGTGTGAGGTTGTGTGACATGGGATCGGATCTTCCAGGGAGCATTGCTTTCCTTGAGATTATAGTTGCACCTTAAAGACGAGTGCCGAATGGCACAAAACGTGGGTTTCCTATCGACTGCACCCAAACACTTTACGTTAATGCACTTCTTTAGTAACCCTTTCAATGACAACTACTGTCACAGTATCTCTATCAACAGAGCCGAACGCCACCCTAAGGTCAAGAAATACAACTATTGTTGGATATCCAGAAGTATGCCTGTTCCAGAACCTCCCAAAGGGTAAATATTTGGTCTATACATCCACATCCAGGTTTGAAACCGACCTGATTTTTTCGGGTTCGCTACTCACGAATCCTACTTAGACGTCAAAGTGTTATTGAGACTAATATTTTAGACACTATGTTGGTTAAACTGAATCCTCTCTGATTATCACAAGATTTTTGTTCTTATAAACTGAGATGATCAGTCAGATGGGATTTCATCCAGTTCCCAGATTTTAGCGAAGATCTCAGTTGATTTGACTGCTGAAACTGGACTATCATCCTTAAAAGATCTCAAAGATTGGTCCATCAAGTCCTGTTGCCCTTTCTGGCTTTAGATTGCTTATAGTACTTTCAATCTCACTAAGAGTTGGAGGACTTACATCAGTTTGCCATTCATGTTGCATGAAGATAGTGGTTAACTGTGTTAGTCAATCAGCTTCAACGTAGGGCTAGGCACATATATTCATCAGTCCAAGTTGAAGTGTGACTAAAGGCCTACCGAACTGTTCTCCAAAGTGTTCTGCTTATCGGTTTAATCTTCTGGATTGAGAATGAATAATGATCCCGTCTTTTTCCGAAATAGTTTCACTGACAGCCGTATTCCTTGCTTCGGTTTGGGCACCCGGGCAGACACACAAATTAAATGAGATTTGTGTGGCACATATGTATCTGTATTCCCAATACCCGTTTACTTGATAAGTCTGAACAGTTGTCTGCTATTGCCTACCACTGCTCACGATCATTACGTAGGTTTTTAACCAGCCTACGTTTAGGCTGCCTCTGCTCCTCTTCGTGTTCTGAGCCAGACGGAATGAGTTTCCAAGGATCTATCAGTTCTGTAAACACCGCTGAAATCCACTGGTTTCCCTAGCCTTTTGGTTTAAGTTACTGGTAGATATCACTGCTGTTTCCACAGCTTTTTGGATGCCATACACAATAACCTCGAATTGGTGTTCATCTTGTTCAGATAATTAAGTGTGGCAACTTGGACCAATGCATATATGTGCCTGGTCCTACATTGCAACTCACTAACTTCGAAATGGATATCATTTTAACGGTTGACTAGTTTCTTCTCCAGTTGTTCCTAAATTATGTTCTTAGTTTTTTTAATGACCGATTTGTACTCTAAGGAGTTTATTTGCTGTGGCTTCTCTACGTCCAGTAAGATGCAGGCAGATACGTGCCCGAATTAGGGCATGATCCGAGCATAAACATGTGCTCCAGACAATATAGCTCGGCTGAGTCGCCACGATAAGCAAGACCGACCACCACATCTAGGTAGCAACTGTAGTCGGGTTCATTTGACGTAATTATCGTAGATAAAAATTGCGGCACGTCATACCTTAGTTCTGCAATGGAAACAAAACAAACACTCATCTAAAAAAATGAGCTTCATTTTACATTACCGATCAACGTACTTGTCAAAACTTAATTGCAAATTTAACGGTATTATTTTACAATCATTGTACCTATCACACGTGTGCTTTATGCTTGGACTTTTCAACTAAGCCGCTTATAAATTTGGTTTGATTGTCCCCCTAGATCGCTTACTTGAAACAAATTGAATCTGAAAATCCTCCTGAAGATTCATTTTTCCCATGTGAATTTGAAAATTCTACACTGATGCAAGTTTATAAAATGATCCAACCATTCGAACGCCTACTTGGAATTCAAATACAGAAAACGCACTCTGGGCTACTACAGTTGCTATTTCATGGTTGTTCAGGAGCTCTGGTTAGTAGTGATGAAGTAATTGTATGCTGTTGTCAACTTCGTATAGTAAATACTAATCGCTTTGAAGTCGTGTTGTGTGATCCACCCGTACCGGATCTAGAAAGACTTGTAAACCACTTGAATTGGACTGAAGATATACGGAGTTTTATTATTGTATTAAGACAACGTTTTTGTCGTTACTTTGAATTAGCTGCAGCAGTTTCGAATAAATTAAGCTCTGAATGACTAATGTGTTAATGGGCATGCTGACATTGTACTCTGATAAAACCTTTGCTATGCATGAATTTGTCATAATTTATGTTCATCTTACGCTTATATCTTATAAAAAGTATATATATATATATATATATATATATATATATATATATATATATATATATATATAATTTATGTGATTATTTTTTCACAGCCGCGCGACCACGTGAAATTGGAAATAATAATAGTTCGTTTGGTATGAAAATCTACTTACGGTTAGTCACGGTGTGGGCAGCCGGGAAGTGACATCAGCCCTCATACCCGTAACAGCACGCGAGACCAAGTTGGTCACATTCAAATCCTTCCTACACCTTCTAATACCTCTCTTATCTCCATGACTAACCCTCCTCACGTCTCTTTATCACCTCGCACCGCTAGGGCAAACGATTCGAGTACGTGGAACTCTATTCCTGGTCTCCTCAAACCACGCTCTAAACTACACGTAGGAGCTTTTAACGTCCGAACACTGTGCCAAATAGGACAGCAGGCTTTCTTAGCTAGGACTTTAGAATCTCGCGCCATCGATGTGTGTTGCGTCTCCGAAACGCGCATACAGGATCCAAGTAGCATCATTCATTTGACCTCACCATGCCAAAATAAAGAACCGACTCGATTCACGCTTCGTGTATCTGGAAGCCCTGATTCTGCTTCCCGTGGCCTCGCCGGCGTAGGTATAGCATTGAGTCCTAGGGCAGAACTAGCTCTCTTAGAGTGGATCCCAGTAGACAGTCGTTTGTGCGCTGTCCGACTGAACGGAACAGTAAGAATCCGGAAAGATACGGACACTCGTCGTTGCCTCTTCGTCGTCTCTGCCTATTCTCCCACTGACTGCAGCCCAGATGATGTAAAAGATGAGTTTTACAGAAAGCTTTCGGACCTTCTCCGAAAAGCTAAGCGCTCGGATGTAGTAATAGTGGCCGGTGACTTTAATGCTCAAGTAGGTAAACTAAGCGATAGGGAAAGACACCTGGGTGGATCTTATAGTATAGTGGCTCAAAGAACAGATAATGGCGACCGTCTGTTGCAGCTATGCTCGGACAACCGCCTCTTTCTTGCAAATACTAACTTTAAGCATAAGGAAAAACATCTTTTAACATGGCGACCCCCTAATTCGTCCCAACGTTGGACCCAAATAGATCACATCGCTATCAGCCACCGATGGAGGGGCTCGATAGAAGACTGTCGCTCATTCTGGAGCACATGCCTAGATTCAGATCATGCTCTAGTACGAGCGCGTATTTGCCTGCGTCTTACTGGACGTAGGAAAACCGCTGCAAGGAAACCTCTTAGGGGCCTACTTAATGATAGTCAAGCTAAGAGTATATTTCAGGAACAACTAGGAAAACAGTTAGGCAGCCATGTATGTGATGCCCACCCCGAGGCAGCATGGAATGATATCCGAAAAGCTGTGGAAACAGCAGTGATATCTGTTAGTAAGGTAAACCAGAAGGTTAGGGAGCAACACTGGATCTCAGCAGCATCTATCGCACTGATAGATGCTCGGAAACTCATTCCACCTGGCTCTGAACATAGTGAAGAGCGGAGTCAGCTTGGGCGCAAACTAACAAGAAGTCTACGCAGTGATCGCGAACAGTGGTGGGTAGCGAAAGCAAGAGAGATGGAAAAGGCAACGGCAATAGGTAATAGCAGACAATTGTTTAGACTCGTTAAGGAAACCGGAATTAGGAACCCGACTGTTAGCGAAACAATCTCAGAGAAAGATGGACATATTATTCATTCTCAATCCAGGAGATTGGATCGATGGGCAGAACACTTTAGGGATCAGTTCAACTGGCCTTCAGCCACACTTCGGTTTCCCACGATCTCCAGTCAACCTGAATGGCAAGTTAATGTAGGTCCTCCGTCTCTTTATGAAGTTGAAAAAGCCATAGGAAATCTGAAACGAGGGAGAGCAGCAGGCCCTGACAGGTTTACTCCTGAGATTTTTAAGGATGGTGGTCCAGTATTAGCAATGAGATTAACCGAGGTCTTAGGTAGAATTTGGGAACTGGACGTAATCCCATCTGACTGGTCTCAATCACTGATTGTGCCAGTTTATAAGAAAGGACAAAAGTCCTCTTGTGACAATCACAGAGGAATCAGTTTGACTAATATAGTGTCTAAAATATTAGCTTCAATAATACTTCGACGCCTAGTCAAAGCTCGTGAAGAGCAGACTCGAGAAAATCAGGCTGGTTTTCGACCTGGACGTGGTTGTATAGATCAGATATTCACACTACGTCAGGTTCTAGAACACAGACACACGTTTAGACGCCCCACAATGGTAGTATTTCTCGACCTTAAGGCGGCATTCGACTCTGTTGATCGTAAGGTTCTATGGCAGTGTTTGTCACTGAAAGGAGTACCAAAGAAGTACATTAACCTTATAAAGGCTCTCTACTCGAACACAACTGGTAGAGTGAGAGCTTATGGCGAACTGTCATCAGAATTGATTACCTCAAGTGGTGTTCGTCAGGGCTGTCCACTCTCCCCATTCTTGTTCAACTTTGTGGTCGACGTACTTTTAGAGATAACACTCTCCTCATCTAAATTTCCGGGGGTTGAACTTCTACCGGGAGGTTCACTTGTTGACTTAGAATATGCAGATGACATAGTTTTATTTGGTGAAGACGCTGACAAAATGCAGAGTCTTCTGACCACTCTAAGCAACAATGCAAGCATGTTCGGGATGCGATTCTCTCCCTCGAAATGCAAAATGTTGCTTCAGGATTGGGTTACATCGACACCCGAACTAGTGATAGGGAGTGAAGTAGTTGAGTGTGTCGACCGCTTCACTTATCTTGGAAGTCTCATCAGCCCTTGTGGTCTGGTGTGTGACGAAATCTCAGCACGGATACAGAAGGCTCGACTAGCTTTTGCCAACTTGCGTCATTTATGGCGTAGGCGAGATATCCGTCTACCAACCAAAGGACGTGTTTACTGCGCAGCAGTTCGTTCCGTCCTACTTTATGGCTGTGAAACATGGCCGGTAAGAGTAGAGGATATTCGTAGGTTACTAGTATTTGATCATAGGTGTCTTCGAAGTATTGCTCGTATATCCTGGGACCACCGAGTAAGTAACGCAACTGTTAGGAAACGGGTACTAGGTAAGGATGGCAAATCAATTGATGAAGTAGTGAAACTTCATCAGTTGAGATGGCTGGGACACGTGTTACGTATGCCCAACCACCGACTACCTCGACGTGCTATATTCAGTGGTATAGGAGTAGGTTGGAAGAAAGCTAGGGGCGGCCAGACCAAAACATGGCACAAATCCATGATGTCACTGACAAGTGGTCTGAGTCATGTCGGTAGGTGTAGACTACCTGGTTGGGGACCGCGAGATGATAGCAACCGATGGTTAGAGACCCTGAATGACATGGCTCAAAATCGTTTGCAATGGCGCAGGTGCATCCACTCTCTATGTTCTCCCAAATTCTAATTATCTGAATTCTTCATGCCCCTTTTTTTCCTCTTTCCAAATTTATTTCACTGGATTATACTCGTTAAATAACATCTCCAAACCCTAATATTCCCGATTACTGCTTATACTCTTGCTACCTCTACCACTACGGGATTTGAATCGACCACTGCATCTCTGTGCTAATGTGGTATGGCAACTCGAACTGATGTACGTACGTACTAAGTTCTACGTTGTTACTGACTGACTGACTACGGTTAGTCATCGAAGTAGTTGGTTTATAAATAAGTGTAAAAAGTTGGACTATTTGTTTTTTCGCGGTGAAAATTTGAATCAATCGCTCCTTTCACTGTGTTAGAACTTAACAAAGTATCTGCTATTTAAACGAAACTAGGACCTGTAGCTTAACATCTGTGACTAAATGTCTTAACAAACGTTCCGTTGAATTGAAAGGCTTTTCTCTGGATTAAAACAGTTTAGCAGAGATAATTAAACTCATGAAACAACGATGACTCAGAAGCGTGTGAGGAAAATATCCCACAAACAATTCAAATCCAGAATAATCAAAAACGCTTGGCGAACTATTCTTGGCAATTTCGATCTTAATAGAAGTTGTGTAATACGAAGTAGATATAAACACATGACTGGAATTTTCTCTAGAACTAATGCTGTCTATGAAATACTAACTGTGGAGACCATAGGCGATAAAGCTAAAAACCGGTGACAGTAGCACGTGTTTTCCTCATTGATTTTCCACTAAGTCCGGAATTGTGGATTTTTTTATTTTTGTATTTCATCACTAATAATTCTTAAGTTTAGGTTTTTAAAGTGAAATACGTTAACGTTTGCTGCGTTAGAATTTTTTCACGAATTGAGGCAAGTAAAGATCACATGAAATAGATCTGAACTATATTTTGAAATAGGGATGGTTATATGTCGAAATGTAAGTAACAGTTAACTTTGTTGAACTACGTTCCATTACTTCCACTTTCGATTCACATGGAGCACTTAGTGTATAGAGTTTGAACAGTTAAGTACCTGTACGATTTTTAGTGCTTACATGTCCGTGATAAGTTCAGACCATATCATATACAACCCAGTATTTGTGGAATCATTAGGTAAGGTATTTGGAAACGAACATGAAATGACTTGTCACACTTCATCGGTTTTCGTTTCATTTCGATGTCTAGAAAATTTTACAGGATTTTTATAGAAATCACATAACGCGAAATCAGTGATTAATTTGCAGAAAAGCAACAACAAGTCATTAGTAAAATAATGTGATGTAAAATAAATTACAGCCAAATACTATTGCATGTTGCACAAGTTTAGTATAAAAGTAAGTAAGTCGATTTACACAAAGTTTTGGAATGTTATGAAGTAGAAAGTTGATAGAGAAAGCATAACTTAACAATATAAGCATGGGATATAAAATAAAGTTATTAGATCACAGAGATAAAATTGAGTTGTTGGTATATTGTCACTGAATTGTGCACCTATGTCAAAGATCCTGAAATTCAAAGATGTTGAGATTATTTACATAATATGATAACAGTTGACTGTTAAAATTATTAGTTTATCCGAAAAGCTTCATTAATCGTAGTAATAGACAGTAAAATCGCTTAGACAAAAGGCATTGCTGGATTAACACCTAGCATACAAATTCTGCCTTAAAAATAGGTGATTGAAACATGCTGTTTGCTATTTAGATTTAACACAAAAGCTTGTCAATCAGATTATAGTACGTTTCGCTCTCGACGTAGGTGTCCATTTTAATGACGTGAGTATATACATAAATTTGAGTAATAACTTTGGTGGCAAATCGGTGTACACTAGTCAATAACGATTAACGTTGTTCGCTCACACACAACACGGCATATGTTATTTGGGTCCATTGATATACGAGGTTAAAACCTTAAAAACATTCCTGCTACTAAACATTGTTATGGACACTGTAGACAACAAGAGTTCATGAAAGTAATTACAACTTACATGCGGAATTGAATTAAGAAATGCAAAATGTATGTGTAGATACTGGAAATATTAATTTTATTTCGCTGTCAAGTGAACGAATAGGCGCACCATTTTGTACGTGATAATCAATAAGATGTTGTATGCTATCAAATACTCGTTCTTTTGTACGTACCTGAAATTTGTCAAAAACATGCATATAAGATCTAGGCCAGTTCAAAATTTTAATAAACATGATTTTTTGACATCCAAAATCCAAAATTTTTTTCTAATAATGTGCATACAAATTCATCAATTTGATACTAGTCAGAGACCAGTAGTGTTGCAGCAAGCTCCTATTTAATTATATTTTTTGTTCAATCTATGTTTAGTACATCAATTCCAAAGTAACCAGCCTTGGTTCCCCCAGAAGACAGCGTGGAAAATGCACCAACAACTGTGACGTTTCCACTAGTTTTGTGAAATAATCTGATTATGTTAGGTGGTTACTACACATAATTAACGGTTCAAAGCAAGTTTAAGAGAGTGAAAATCGTCCAGATATTTATACAAGTGTAAAAGTGTGGTCTACATATCTCAGTAGGCCATTATTTAGAGAACTTTTAGAGCTATAAATGAAAGAAATTTAATGTATTAACTACAAGTTTATTATACAAATGCTATCAATTGAAATGTAACATTGAATTTTATTCGTGGAACTTTTGTAAGCGTACACTAGAGGTTGAAATTAGATGAGTCCAAAAGTTTTTTTTTTGTAATTGAACTTGAACTACATTTGTTTCGGAAAAACCACACGAATCGAGGTGGTGAAATCAAGATTCAGACTCCTAACCATATGGTTGGAAATCGGGTGTTTAAATTAACGAAATACTGTGGCTGATAAATCTGTGTCAGGCAAAACGAAACTCGATCTGACGGTTGCTTAGCTGATATCGTACAATTAGATCTATCTCTAACATGTTAACCTGAAGAATATCTTGCTAGATTTTTAGCAGATAAATGAAATTTTATTTGAAAACTTGGTATGGTTAATGAAGTTGCCTTAAACAGAATATTACCTTTCCATTAGGATCGGCCAGTAACAAATGTCTATATTTTCCGTCTTGAAGGCCGCTTAGTACAAACTGACCAGGCTGCTGAATGCTAGCACGTACAAGAAAATCCCCATCATAACGCAACAAATTTTCGGCTTGTGATCTGGACATTTTACCAACATACCAAGGTTCACCTACTGGTTCCAAATGTTCAAAATTTGGAAGTCCAACTTGTGCCTTTATATTAGACATTGATTTGACACCAGCGACTTTATTAATGTTGCAGGAAGGCTGTTGTGTTAAATCACTTTGATTAGATTGGGTAGAATTTTTTGTAGTGCCACAGGATGGCTTGTTGCATTCTGCATTATCAGTTTGATTATCCGAAGAAATTTCGTTACCAAGATGCCCTGCGTATAAAAATGGTAAATATATATAACCTTGTGGTACACAATCTAAGGTGGAGTCAACTGTAGCAATTCATGTCAATAAAAAATAATTATGATCACGTTAACATAAGGAGTATTTTCTCATCAAAAACCTAAATTAATAAACGTCATTATAGCAGTGAAAATGATGCCAGCATAGATACAAGATAGAAAAAAGATGCTCAAATATTAGAGCGGAATCAATTAAGTGAAAAAGTAGATAATTTGACCATTTATAATTTAATTGGTAGTATTTATTCAAAACAAAAAGTACATTATTAGACAATCCAAGTACACAAGGACAAACTGTTCCATTATTTTAATCTGATGTAGTTGCTAACACGGGTGAATAAATATACTAACTGAGAATGATCCGTAGTACAGATGAACTTATTTCTGAATCTAAATATTCACATCGATTATTCAGATGGTTTGATTTTATTCTAAGGAACTGAAGTGAACGCTATACTATTAACAACATATCATGGACGATGACACTGGAAGGAGATACTACCACGTTTAACATCCAAAAGCGCCAATGGGGATAATTTAGCTGAATTGAATGACTGCATTTTGTGTCCTGGAAGTCCTTCCTATTGGGACTTATAAACAAGGACTACTGTGAATTAGGAGGAAAAGATTAAAGTCGTTTAGTATTGCAAGACTTGATATTCAAGCGTGAGTTAAAGTAATAAAATAATTGTTACTTCGTGAATATTAAATCATTTGATACTATCCTGCTTTTTTGTTTAAATGAATTGAACAAAAGGATTTTGAAAAAACTACTTATTAGTCTTTACTACATCTAACATTTACTGTCTGTTCTGATTTTGTTTCAAAAGTGCATTTATTCATGACACCTATATTTTTGAAATAAAATAAATTGCTTAATAATGGATAAAAATAAACATTACATGCACTATCTTCAAAATCCATAAAATTATCAAAAGCTATTGGTTGATGAGTAACACTATTATCAGGCATAGAAGTATTTTGATTTAATGTATTGTCTTTTGATAGGGAAGTACTGGTATTGGCAGATACCTGGAAGAAAATAAACAATATTGTAGAGAAGAGTAATATTAATGAAAATTTGAAATATAATTTAATTCAGTCTAGTCTTCAAACGTATTCTGGAACACACAATTGATTACACTTTGAAAGGAATTGACCTGAAAGATCAGAACAATGAATCCTGGTCAATCAAACATTTAGAATGATCTATGTATAATAACTAATGACACGGAAGAGGCTACCATTGAAATTTTAGCTTGATTTCATCATTTAGGTCCTCACTGATCTCTGCCATCTTTTAGTCGCTGATTTTCGGGGATTTGCTGTTCAGTCAGTCAGTCAGTAACAACGTAGAACTTCGTACGTACGTACGTCAGTTCGAGTTGCCACACCACCTTAACACAGAGATGCAGTTGTCGATTCGAATCCCATTGTGGTAGAGGTAGCAAGAGTGTAAGCAGTGATCGGGAAGATTAGGGTTTGGAGATGTTATTTAAAGAGTATAATTCAGTGAAATAAATTTGGAAAGAGGAAAAAAGGGACATGAAGAATTCAGAAGATTAGAATTTGGGAGAACACAAAGAGTTGATGCACCTGCGCCATTGCAAACGATTTTGAGCCATGTCATTCAGGGTCTCTAACCATCGGTTGCTATCATCTCGCGGTCCCCAACCAGGTAGTCTACACCTACCGACATGACTCAGACCACTTGTCAGTGACTTCATGGACTTGTGCCATATTTTGGTCTGGCCGCCCCTAGCTTTCTTCCAACCTACTCCTATACCACTGAACATCGCACGTCGAGGCAGTCGGTGGTTGGGCATACGTAACACGTGTCCCAGCCATCTCAACTGATGAAGTTTCACTACTTCATCAATTGATTTGCCATCCTTACCTAGTACCCGTTTCCTAACAACTGCATTACTTACTCGATGGTCCCATGATATACGAGTAATATTTCGAAGACACCTATGATCGAATACTAGTAACCTACGAATATCCCCTACTCTTACCGGCCATGTTTCACTGCCATAAAGTAGGACGGAACGAACTGCTGCGCAGTAAACACGTCCTTTGGTTGGTAGACGGATATCTCGCCTACGCCATAAATGACGCAAGTTGGCAAAAGCTAGTCGAGCCTTCTGTATCCGTGCTGAGATTTCGTCACACACCAGACCACAAGGGCTGATGAGACTTCCAAGATAAGTGAAGTGATCGACACGCTCAATTACTTCACTCCCTATCACTAGTACGGGTGTCGATGTAACCCAATCCTGAAGCAACATTTTGCATTTCGAGGGGGAGAATCGCATCCCGAACATGCTTGCATTGTTGCTTAGAGTGGTCAGAAGACTCTGCATTTTTTCAGCGTCTTCGCCAAATAGAACTATGTCATCTGCATATTCTAAATCAACAAGTGAACCTCCTGGTAGAAGTTCAACCTCTGGAAATTTAGATGAGAGTGTTATCTCTAAAAGTACGTCGACCACAAAGTTGAACAAGAATGGAGAGAGTGGACAGCCCTGACGAACACCACTTGAGGTAATCAATTCTGATGACAGTTCGCCATAAGCTCTCACTCTACCAGTTGTGTTCGAGTAGAGAGCCTGAATAAGGTTAATGTACTTCTTTGGTACTCCTTTCAGTGACAAACACTGCCATAGAACCTCACAATCAACAGAGTCGAATGCCGCCTTAAGGTCGAGAAATACTACCATTGTGGGGCGTCTAAACGTGTGTCTGTGTTCTAGAACCTGACGTAGTGTGAATATTTGGTCTATACAACCACGTCCAGGTCGAAAATCGGCCTGATTTTCTGTAGTTTGCTCTTCACGAGCTTTTACATCATCTGAGCTGCAGTCAGTGGGAGAATAGGCAGAAACGACGAAGAGGCAACGACGGGTGTCCCTATTTTTCCAGATTCTTACTTTTCCGTTCAGTCGGACGGCGCACAAACTGCTGTCTACTGGGATCCACTTTAAGAAAGCTAGTTCTGCTCTGTGACTCAATGCTTAGCCTACGCCGGCGAGTCCACGAGAAGCAGAATCAGGGCTTCCAGATACACGAAGCGTAAATCGAGTCGGTTCTTTATTTTGGCATGGTGAAGTCAAATGAATGACGCTACTCGGATCCTGTATGCGCGTTTCGGAGAGGCAGCACACACCGATGGCGCGAGGTTCTAAAGTCCTAGCTAAGGAAGCCTGTTGTCCTATTTGGCACAGTGTTCGTACGTTAAAAGCTCCTACGTGTAGTTTAGAGCGTGGTTTCAGGAGACCAGGAATAGCGTTTTGTGTACTCGAATCGTTTGCCCTAGCGGTGCGAGGTGATAAAGAGACGTGAGGAGGGTTAGTCATGGAGATAAGAGAGGTATTAGGAGGTGTAGGATTTGAATGTGACCAACTTGGTCTCGTGTGCTGTTACGGGTATGAGGTATGATATCACTTCCCGGCTGCCCACACCGTGGAAGGGTATTTCTTGAGGAACCTGAAAAGGAAATTGGATTAGTGTTGGTCTTAACGACCTGGGAGCGTGGCCGCAGAGCCCAAGGGACAACTGCTTGAGGCCGGTCGCGCACGGCCTTTTCGTGGAAGGTTTTTGACGTGTTAGCTCCGTTCTTCAAAGGGCCTTACCGCCGGAGACGGAAATCCGTGAGGTAAGGTGAGGTGTGACATTTTTAAGTTCGACCTTTTCTAACCCCACCCCTCCTTGTGGGAAGGCGGCATCGCTGCAGATGCTGGTTGTCCGAGGGAAACACCTTACTGCTGTCACACCCACTACAGTCAGCAGTACGACTTCGCCCTCAGACCTTGAGTTGCTGCTTTTAGTCTTACCGTTCACCAATCGACCTGCCTGGCATGGTAGAACCTACAGGAACATATGTTCCAGCCAATATAGCTCGGTTGCGTTATCACAATAGGCAAGCCCGACCACCGCGTCAAGGTAGCAGCTTCGGTCGGGAATTTGCTGTTAGTGTTGCAGCTTGCATAATGGATTTTTCTATTTGTATCAAATCATTTGCTTCATCTATTAGGTTATTATTCCGAAGAGTTTAAGATCAAACGGACTAAAAGCATTCAGCAGTGCCATCACATCTCCTTAACACAGGACACGAAATCAATACACTGAACTCCTTCAAGGTGATCAACAAATAATCAGACTCAGATTTTTTGAAATTTGCCGAAGCGATAGTAATCAAACGTCTAAAACAAGATCTATGTATACAAAAAGCAACAGTAATAAATCTTCCTTTGCTCTGGTAACATTAACCCCCCTTTTATTTATTTATTGCGTCATTCATTATTCCAACTATTCCTGAATTTTAAAATCACATCATTCATAACTGACTGATTTCAATTCATATCTTTCCTCAGAAAATAGAGGGGAAATGTCATCAGTATCGAACGTTGAACAATCGCTTTATCCACTTTTGTAAATTATCTAACTCCTTGATAAGAGACACATCAGATATACCAAAGATGCAATCCAGCGTAACATAAAGGCATCTACATTTGAAATTTAATGATAATGAATAATTCTTTTGTGTAATCTTAGTCTTGAAAAAAATTTAGACTTTTGAAGAAAAAGACACCAACTCAATTGCATTACCGTGCAATCCTACTGTTAGTGAATGTGTATCTTACTTTTCAGTAATAGCTTGTTATTTTAGTCTATTAAACCAAAGGTAGAAAAAGGAGTTCCTGATGACTGGCGAAACACGTATTCCTTATTACAACATTCTTTTTCGTTAACTCAAGGAAAACTTCCATCTATTAGGCTACCCTATTCAAAAACTTTTCAAAATTTTGTTTTGTAGTTTATCAGTTGATATTACTTCCACATAGTTTAATATCTTAATCTGTGCATTAGCTTTTCAGTTTTAGTCAGCAATTCGACACAATAGTACGTTTGACATTATGCCCACGGCATTTAAGATTCCCTACCACCCATTTCTAAAAAAATGTATGGTGTCAAAGAAAAATTTAGGTATCGTTGATTGGTGTACTTGTTTTGCAAGTGTGTGCTCAAGTGATAATGAACAAACATTTTGTTACCTTTAATAATTTTGTTATTGGTCGTAAACTGTTCATCTCTGTAATCTGTTTAGTTGAAATTGAAATCGCATCTAGAGCTGTGATTGAATGTCAGAATTTTCATTTTTTACATTTGAAATTTAATGATAATGAATAGTTTTTTTGTGTAATCTTAGTCTTGAAAAAAAATTAGACTTTTGAAGAAAAAGACACCAACTCAATTGCATTACCGTGCAATCCTACTGTTAGTGAATGTGTATTGGGATAAATTTTTGTTTTCCGATCAAGTATACCTTGAATTGAAGTCGTTAGTTATCTTAACACGAATAATTATATGTATCTCATTAAAAGAAAGTTTTTGGAAAAAAGCAACTGAAAACCGGTTTGAATATTTGATAATAGTGATTACTGAATTAGGTCGGTAGTCTAATGTTGAATACCCAATTAATAAACAAACTATCATCAAAGTGTGTGCATAGGTTTTTTTGTAACACATGGTCTGTTAATCGGAGAAATAAATCAACATATCAATAAATCATCATGATAAATTACTGATTGCAATATGTATAATTCAGGTGAAGCAACCGTAGACCATCATTGAATGAACCGACTTTGACAGTATATGAAAGTAGTAATAAATTTAACCGAAATAGGCACTTAATATTTAGTAAACGATTATTTTGTAAATGGTCATTCATAATGAGAATTAGACAACGTTAGATTTCAATTCGGTTCATTTTAAAAGTTCATTGAAACACGGTTTATTGTTTTCACTTGTAAATTATTTGTAGTTCTGCATTTTAAAATTAATTTTTTTTGGTTATAATAAAAACTAGTGTGTTTAATCAGTCATGTGTGAATATTGTTAACCGCCGTAATATGAAACCTGAACTATATCTAGACATTATGAATGTAACCATTTTTGACAAGCATTTGAAACATCAGTTTCATGAAGTGTAAATGAACAAGCCTACGTCGTCTGACTGACTCAACTAATATCTATCGACATTAAATGTATAAATATGAATAAGGTCAACTGTATCAATGAACATTTAAAATGTTATTATTATTTTTTGTCATTATTATTATTATGTCAATTGACAAGATTCAATTCCCATACTATGTATTTCATTGACACAAAATTTTTTGCATTTTAAATTTTCCTATAATGCTTAGTCACTTATTGTGACTGAACACTTTACTGCAAATAATCCAGACCATTATTGAATGACCTTTCTAATTTGCAAGTATTACAATTTGTAAGTATATATATAAATATATATATATATATCGTAACAGATGTAAACGTTAACCATTGTTAACACATTACATTGTCAAATTCATTAATGCCATGTCTTATTTTTGGCCTTTATAAAATATTAAAATTATGGGCTTATAACTGTATCGTGTGTTTGTACCAGTAATTAATAGTTATATGGGTGTGCAAATGAATACGTTGATATAATCAGTGGTTATGAATCACAATGAAGGCTTAGTTGACGATCGGACGTAATTCATACGTACGCTTAGTTCTGCTTTCAGGTGCTATTAATATAAAACTGGAATATGAAATTCTTGTTTTTTGTATTCATGAAACGGATAATATGCTTATTTCTTTTAACACTTACTATATGACCTTTAATCACATGAATCATTTCAACGATGATGGTTTCAATTTGTTTTATAATGTCAGTATTTTAATCATAAGGAAGATAATTTTCTTCATTGTGTTTACTTCTGTATGAGCTTTAATCACATTCATCTTTGTAATTATATTCACTAATAAATGTTCTCATAAACTTATTGACCTAACGACAAAATTACAATTTTCACTATATTGAAATATTCCCATTAAAATGTACTATTATTAGATAGTTTACAAAAGTGTTACTAAAACATGAACATTAATCACAATATTTTAAATATAAAATTACTAGATTAGTCTTCATTAGATGACAAAATCTTGTTTAAGTTTTCTTAACCTTTATATCTAATAAACGTTAGAAACGAGTTTACGAATACATGAGCGATAATCGCTTTTCCATTATTAATCTCTAAGGGATATCTAAATTCATGAGACATTAATAAGTGCTAAATCACTTGACCTTTGCCGCGGAAAAGTAGTGGATAAAAAATAATGGAAATCAAATTGTGGTTGGCCCTGAAAAGGGCCTTTACTCGTTCTCGTGGTCGGACGTCGTCACTATTAGTTTGTAATGGCGCCACATATAGGACAAGTGCATTGCTTGTACGTTCGGCGATGGGTCGTAGGCACAGAAGGTATGAAACATTGCTTCACATCTACAGAAAACCCAACCAACCGCATCAACGGTTTCACACGGAGGCTGCGCAAGATTACAGATGTCGCAGAGTCGATTCTCGTCATCCTCTTCTTCATTTTCGATGTACCGTTCAGTTAACTCTTCGGCTAGTATCGACGTGTACGTAGTACGTCCCCGTGGCGTCCATAGCGGTGAATAAATCTTCCGACAATGCAGACTGCGTTATAGGAATGCGAAGGTGTCGCTTCAGTAGTTGACAGGCAACTGGTGTCAGTCGTTCCTGAAGTCGAAGTACTTCCGGCTCTTCACCAATATCGGCTTTCCCTCTACAATCCATTGCATCCGGATACACCTACGTAATAGCAGCAGCAATTGCAGGTGAATCATCGGTCACAATGTCTACCAGCTATCGACTATTGGTACACCGTTGGAAAAAACGCAGGAATGCAGAAATGAATGTTGGCGTTTTGCGACTTAAAAAGGCAATGCACATGGGTATTGCCTTAAAATTCATATCCACGGCAACGACTTGATATAAATGGACGTTCTCGTTATTCGTTTTGTCAGTCCCGTCAAAACCACAAAAGTGACCGGCCAAATTCAATTGCTCAGCAGTCATGAAGAAATACGATAGACAGTTCTCATAGGCCAATTCGTATTCGCAAAGCCCACCCAAGGATGTTGTGTGAGCTTTCAATTTCCCGTAATCACCTATAGTATATATTATAAATTGGCAAATTGCTTACCAGGAAGGTTCGCGTGTGAGAACACTTTGTACCGCATATTACAGACATCTTGATCAGTCAGACGTTTCCCATAAGATTAGTAAGCGAAATTCTTTAAGTGGAATGCAGCGGTACCGGAAATCAGCAGCGGTCTCACAGTTTCAAACTCCCCATCCGTTAACCTGCGCACCCATGAATTACCTTGGTACCTCAGGGAATTGCACTCGTGATTGTGATGCACATTCCCACGTACAACAGTTCAATAGCCGTCTATAATCTTACAAAACATGAAGGCCGGACATTGGGTGTTCATAAAAGCCCTTCGTTAAAAAAATTATAAAACCATTTACCAAATTACCTTCTCCGTCTAATACGTTGTGACGAACCGCTAGATCTTATACGCCCATTTCGCCAACACACAAATTTAATGTACGACTTTTGATCTCTGCCAATATGCGAACCAGCGCTTGATCTCAGCACGTTACTCTGCTCCATAATGACGATTGAAATTGTGCTTCGCTGACAAGTACTGATAATTTATAACAATTTTCAAAACATAACTAACCAATTAAATCTAATTTTTGAAACTAGCCATTTCATTGGACGAAACTCGGGATGAAAAATATTGTAATTTGGGGGTGGAAAATTGTTTTCATTGGGGTGGGTTTTTTTTTCCAAAAAAATGGCCGGTCGGACAATATTATTCGACAAAATCACATATATATTTTGTTGATTTTATATTGAAAACATTAAACATTATAATTGTAAATAATAAAATTAACTCACATGATAATTGGTACTATTAATAGATGAAGGTTTGTTTGAATTACTAAGAGAATTTTTAGACATTGATATATTTGTTTGAAATGTTTGGTGATGAGAAAATAATGAATCCAATGAATTTAATTTAATAGGAGATGTTTGTTTATTAACATTTTGAGGTTTGGAATTTTTGAAATCCTAATTTTGTTCATATTTATACAAAAATAAATAGAGAGTAGTTAGGACAGTATATTGATAAAATAAATTAAAATAATGATAAAAAATAAAATAAAGTATAATGTACAAAACTAAGGAAAATAACACACATGGATACGATCGTATTAATACAGTTTATATCAGCCTTGTTTATTCATTAGTCCATCAGTTTCGAAGTTTATTATACAGGTTTACCTACACTAATTAAGATCAAATCACAAACTAGTAATATTACAACACTAATCAACCAATAATGTAAGGCATAGTTTGAGCACGAGGAAACTAAACTACGTGAACTTTGATCAAAAGTAACAATAGTAGACTAGAGTTTAGCTAAAAATGTAATGATTTAGTTTACTTTACTTTACCATTCATAACTGATGATATACTGAATTAAACGATTGAATAAAAAGATTGGAATGATTTGATGACAAGTTAAATTTACTCTTTATAATAAAGCGTATGAAATAAAGGACCATCTATAAATGATCACCATTTTTATGCTCACATATTCAGAAACGCCGAATTCTTATACTAATTAACATGCTTCGTCACCGACTATAAAAATGTTTATTTCATTTACAGGTTTACGCGTTCGGATTTAAGTTTAACACTGTGTTCTGAAGATACAACTCGGCTGCTCACAGCGAATTCAATGGGATGAGATATGGACATAAAACCCAGTGATCAAAACACTAAACTAGCACTCACAAATTAAAATATAACACAAGCATGCATCTTTTTAAGTGGCTACATTTCATCTCAGACAAGGAAATAAATTAAGCAATCTTTTCCTTTAAATTTTAGATATTTTTACTCTTATTGACTAAAGTCTGCTAAAATGTGTGAAAATTATATTTGAAATAATCTCAGCGACTGAAAATGCCTATTGGTGTTAAGCTAACTATTTTAACTTGCTACACGTTATCGACAGTTGTTAGTGTCAGTAAGCTATACTAACGACCAGAATCCTGGTTAAGCTTCATGAAACATCCTACATCAAAACTTAGGGTAAGACACTACAATCTAAAGAACAAATGCCCATAACAATTCGCAGATGTGAATTCGTGTTAATATTCACCTGATATCCTAACTGGAATGCTTGTCCGATTGTAATAATTACATCCTGGGCAAGACCATCTGAACATTCAAAAACGTAACACATACGAGTGTCTTGATCTGTTTTGGCCACATAACAAATGAAATCTGGTGTATCTGCGTCACCAGCGGAAGCAAAAGAAACCAGGAATAGGTTGTGCTGGAATAATAACTGAATAAATAAAACAAAAGAAATAATTATTAAATAAAGTCAAGTGAACATATATTATTATACGTTATAATAAGTTCACCCACCACTAATTATTGAAGTAAATACTGACGGATATTTACCAAATTACGAAGACAAATACCTATTTTGGCCAGTTAAATCTAAGCACGATAAATTCCAATGCAAAAAGAAAGGAAAATCAATAGTAAGTAAAGCGTAGAAAATCACACGGTCAGGATCATTTATGTTGATAAAGAGATCGAGAAGCAAACGAGTGGAAAAATGGAGAACTGAGGAAAACTGTAGTATCTTAGTCATAAAAGACAAAAAATGTACTACGATCGACTAGTAAATGTTAGCTCAAGCTGTCAGCTCTTACGTTTACTACTAATTCGAAGGCCGTACCCAACAAGTACGCACGCCAATACGATTGAGGGTAATAGCTTGTGGTCTTATGAACTAGTGGTGTCTTATTCAACTCACTCAAGATTCTTATCGAATATGATTCTGTTTCTGAAGCTTCGCACTCAGAGCTGGAATCAGTCAGTCAGCAACAACGTAGAATTTTGGACATACATATATCAGTTTGAGTTGCCATACCACATTAGCACAGAGATTCAGTTGTCCATTTAAATCGCATAGTGCTAGAGGTAGTAAAAGTATAAGCAATAATCGAAAAGATTAGGGTTAGATGATGTTATTCAAGGAGTATAATCCAGTGAAATAAATATGGAAAGAGAAAAAAAGAAGGGACACGAAGAATTCCGAAGGTTAGAACTTGGGAGAACACAAAGAGTGGATGCACCTGCGCCATTGCAAACGATTTTGAGCCATGTTATTCGGTGTCTCTAACCATCGGTTGCTATCATCTCGCGGTCCCCAACCAGGTAGTCTACATCTACCTACATCGCTAAGTCTACTTGGCAGTGAAATCATGGATTTGTGCCATGTTTTGTTCTGGCCACCCACGGATTTCTTCCAACATGCTCCTGCATAACAAAACATCACACTTCGTGGGTTGAGATGTCAGTCAGCTACAACGTAGGTCCAGGCACATATATGCATCAGTCCAAGCTGCCGAACCGCACTAGAACAGCAAGATGTACAACAGATTCATAGGATTAGTAAAGACAATGTTGGCAATATATATAAGATTGTATATAAGGATAACGTACAGGAAGAAAGAAGTAGTTCGTAGAAAGAAAGGTATTAAGTAATTTTAATTTCAGTGTTTAAGTGAAAACAAAGAGTGTACACACCTACGCCATTGTGATCGATTTTGAGCCATGTCACCAAGAGTCTCCAACCATTGATTACGATAGTCACACGGACCCCAATCAAGTAGTCTGCATCTACCAACATGGCTCAAACTAGAAGTTAGTGACTTCAAGAACTGATACCACGTTTTGGTTTGGCCGCTGCTGCTCTTTCTCGTTACAGACTAGCTATGGCTTTTTGAACTTCAGCTGGAGTCGGGGGCCTACTTCAATGTTCTAGTGCTGACTAGTGTTGGGGATGACTGGAAGAAATTTAGGGGCGGTCAAACCTAAACGTGGTATCTGTCCTTGAAGTCATTAACTCCTGGTCTTAAACATGTTAGTAGATACTGGCTACTTGAAAGGGGTCCGCGTGACTATCGTAGCCAATGGTTGGAGACTCTTGGTGACATGGCTCAAAATCGATCACAATGGCCTAGGTGTTTACACTTTTTGTCTTCACTTAAACACTGAAATTAAAATTACTTTATACCTTTCTTTCTACGAACTAAATGCAAGCATTTTCGGCATGCGATTCTCTCCCTCGAAATGCAAGATGTTGCTTCGGATTTGGGTTGCATCGACACTAATGATAAGGAGTGAAGTAGTTGAGCGTGTCGACCGCTTCACTTATCCAGGGAGTCTCACCAGCTTTTATGGTCTGGTGTGTGACGAAATCTCAGCACGGATACAGAAGGCTCGACTAGCTTTTGCCAACTTGCGTCATTTATGGCGTAGGCAAGATGTCCGTCTACCAATCAAAAGTCGTGTTTTCTGCGCAGCAGTTCGTTCCGTCCTACTTCATGGCAGTGAAACATGGTCGGTAAGAGCGGAGGATATTTGTAGGTTACTAGTATTTGATTCTAGGTGTCTTCGAAACATTGCAGGTATATCCTGGGACCATCGAGTAAGTAATATAGCTGTTAGGAAACGGGTACTAGGTAGGATGGCAAATCGATTGATGAAGTGGTGAAACTTCATCGTTTGAGATGGCTGTGACACGTGTTACGTATGCCCAACCACCCTGACCGTTGTTGCTGCCTTGACGTGGTGGTTGTGCTTGCCTATCGCGATGAAGCAACCGAGCTATACTGGCTGGAACAACTGTTTCTCAATGTCCTACCATGCCAGAGAGGTCGGTTGAAGAGCGGTAAGACTAAAAGCAACAAACCCAAGGTCTGAAGGCGAAGTCGTACTGCTGACTGTACATAGGTGTGACAGCAGTAAGTTGTTTCCTTCAGACAACCAGCATGACAGCGATGCTGCCTTCCCACAAGGAAGGGTGGGGTTAGAAAAGGTCGACCGTAAAAATGCACACCTCGCCTTATCCTACGGATATCCGTCTCCGGCGGTAAGGTCTCAACAAGTACGGAGCTAACACGAAAATTACTCATAAAAAGGTCGTGTGTGACTGACCTCAAGCAGTTGTCCCTTGGGCACTGCGGTTAGCTCTCAGGTCACTAAGACCACCTTTAATCCAATTTCCTTTTCAAGTAGCTCCAGAAGAACCCTTCCACGGTGTGGGCAACCGGGAAGTGATAACCGCCCTCATACCTCTAACAGCACTCAAGACCACTGGATTCATAATCAGTCTCCCTCTTCAATTACAATTATTCCTCCTAAATCGACCTTCAACTCTAAAATTCCTCTTTCGGCTTCCTCCTCAAGTGTCATTATAGCTAACGCTCCCATTGACTGCAGCTCAGATGAATTTCACAGAAACGTTCAGACAAAGATCTCGTAGGAGGTGACTTTAATTCCCAGATAGGTAGCTTAAACCAAACAGAAAGACATTTAGGTGGATAGTTTAGTATTCCGGCACAGCGAACAGATAATGGTGATTATCTGCTGCAACAGTGCTCAGACAATCGTTTGTTTTTAACAAACACTAATTTTAAGCAAAAGGAGAGATCATCTGACATGGCGACCGCCTGCACCAAACCAACGATGGACTAAAGTGGACCATATTGCCATCAGTCATCGTTGGAGAAGGTCGGTACAAGATTGTCGCTCATTCTGGAGTACTTGCTTGGACTCCGACCATGCCCTAATACGGGCACGCATTTGCTTGCGCCTCACTGGACGCAAAAAATGCATATTAAAAAGACCCATTGGAACTGAATTGAGTAACGAGAAAACCAAAAGTAGGTTCCAGAAGCAACTGAAGTTACACTTAGATAGTTCTAAAAACGATGCTGGACCAGATGTTGCTTGGAAATATATCCAAACAGCTGTGGAAATAGGAGTGATATCTACTAGTGATTTAAACCACAGGGTTACAACCATGAACAACCATAGAGAGATTAGTTTAACTAATATGGCATCTAAAATAATAGCCTCAATAATCATCGGACGCCCAACAAAGACTCGTGAACTGAAAACACGAGAGAATCAAGTTGGTTTCAGACCTGGTCGTGGCTGCATCGACCACATAATCACCATTCGTCAGGTTTCAGAATACATGCATGCTTATCGGCGTCCGACAATGACAGTTTTTGTTGACTGAGAAGCAGCAGCATATGACTGTAGACCAAAAGGTTCTGTGGCAGTGTGTCATTGAAAGGTGTACCTCAGAGGTACATAAACCTTGTGAAGGCTCTTTACTATAACACTAATAGTCGAGTCAGAGCTTATGGCGAACTGTCATCTGTTTTTGCAACATCAAGTGGTGTCTATTAAGGCAGTCCACTTTTTCCACTTTTGTTTAACTTCATCATAGACCTACTGATGGAAATAACATTCTCGTTGACTGAATTTTCGGGCAATGGTCTCGTTCCAGGAGGTTCACTTATTGACTTAGAATACACAGACGACACAGTCCTGTTTAGCGAAAACGTGAGATATCCATCTATCAATAAAAGAACGAGTATACTGCGCGGCAGTTCGTTCTGTTCTGCTTCACGGCTGTGAAACGTGGTCATCAAGGGTAGAGGACTTCTATCTGAAGTTTGTGCTGATGATGTCGTTCAGAAGAACGACGAAAGCTCCACGACCAAACCATCCAGCTCAGAGAACAAAACTCCACCAAAAAGAGGATACGCGTAAGTTACTAGTATTTGATCACAGAGGTCTCAGAAATATTGCTCGTATCTGCTGGGATCACCGGGTAAGTAATAGTGAGGTTAGACGCAAAGTATTAGGGAATGATGGTAAATCAGTTGACGAGGTTGTGAATCTTCATCGACTGAGATGGTTGGGACACGTGTTACGTATGCCCGAACACCGATTAGCACGACGCGCAATGCTGACCAGTGTTGGGGATGGTTGGAAGAAAGTTAGGGGCGGCAAACCAAAACGTGGTATCAGTTCTTGAAGTCACTAACTTCTAGTTTGAGCCATGTTGGTAGATGCAGACTACTTGATTGGGGTCCGTGTGACTATCGTAATCAATGGTTGGAGACTCTTGGTGACATGGCTCAAAATCGATCACAATGGCGTAGGTGTGTACACTCTTTGTTTTCACTTAAACACTGAAATTAAAATTACTTAATACCTTTCTTTCTACGAACTACTTCTTTCTTCCTGTACCATATCTTTTTTAACGTTCGGTTTTCCACATCACACAAATGGGACGTTAATTTGCCTTAGACGAATATGTAAATTAGATTCTCTCCCAGTGTCTATTTTACAGGACTGTAACACAACTCAGATCAAGAACACCTGAGTAGCCTGGCTAGAACGTAAGTATATTTCAGCACCCAAAACCGATAATTGTGATAATGGTAATGCGATACATAACCCATCTAG